CAATTGAAATTTCAACTTTCAAACTGACAGTGCTCACCTGGTGTGGGTGCGGCGAAAGAAGTTTTATCAAAACCGACTGGCACACATTCACACACATACATAATGACTGGAGTGGTGCATGTTGAAAAGTGGAAACTTGAAATTTCGATTGAATTCAAGTTTCACGTTTGACACTACTGCTTATTAGACGAATAAACGAATTTATATCCTGAACAACAAAACGTTGGTACATAATTAAGTGAAATGGATGACAATAGCTCTGCATCTTCCACATTAACAAGTCCTATTGAGAATCAAACGCGCACAGTAACTATCTCTTATTCCGATGTGATACCATATACGAATAATATTCGTACTGGCAGTAATAAAGAGAACAAAAATACGATGTCAAACTATTCGTTCGCGCCCATGATCAAGGATTCTATTCTCGTTTGTTTGGATTCGAATATTGATATATCTAGTGACGCTTACCGAAATAACATTACACAACTTCTTCAAGTCATCAATAGTTCTAATACATTTACTGATGCGGATGAATGTATTAATTTTGTTACTCAAATCAAAGATAAAAGGGTGTTTATGATTGTGTCGAATGATATATGTCAACAAATCGTACATTTAATTCAAGATATACCGAAAATAGAATGCATTTATGTGTTCAATAATGACCAATCAAATTATCAGTTGCGGAATTCACAATGTAACAAAGTGATGGGTGTATTTACTCAAATCGAATACATATGTGAATCACTCAATACTAAAATTAGACTTTATGATAACTCTTTTACGGTTGTTAATAGTCTCTCTTTGACTGATCCTCTAATTCCAGGATTAAATGAACTTGAGCAACCATTTATGTATTCTCAACTATTGAAAGAGATTCTTCTGGAAATGGAAGACGACAATAAAGCAAAGGAATTAGAAGACTTTGTTGCAGCTTTGCATAATCTATATTGCAACGATAGTAGTCAACTAAAATTGATTGATGAATTTGCAAAAGACTATAATCGTCATCTAGCAATCTACTGGTACACAAAACATACGTTTATCTTTGAAACTTTAAATAATGCTTTGAGAATGCAAGACATTAACATGATTATTAAGATGGGATTCTTCATTCGAGATCTTCATCGAGAGATCAAACAGTTACATGTGAATAAAATTAATCCAGGACAATTGATTGTTTATCGTGGGCAGGGTATGTTAACTAATGAATTCGAAAAAATGAAAAATAGAAAGGGTGGTCTATTATCTTTCAATAATTTCTTGTCTACAAGTGTTGAGAAAGCCGTAGCTAGTAGCTTAGCCGAAAGTAATTCAATGGCAACGAATAAGATCGGAATTTTATTTGAAATAGAAATCGATACTTCAATGTCGTATGCACCGTTTGCTTCAGTGAAAGGTCTCAGTCATTTTTCCGCCGAGCAAGAGATTCTTTTCTCGATGCATGCTGTTTTTCGAATTGGTGAAATGGAGGAAACCGGCAATAATTTATGGAAAGTGAAACTGAAATTAACAAGCGATATTGATGAAGAATTGAAACGTGTCACTGACTCTCTTCGAGGGCAGCTTGGACGAGGAAATGGATGGTATCAATTAGGATATCTGATGTTCTTGATGGATGAAGTCGGCAAAGCAAAAGAAATATATTCAAAATTACTCGAACTTACATCTACTGACGAATGGAAAGAACTTGCAACAATATATAATCAGTTGGGCATGATCAGTCATAGAGAGGGTGATTACAAGAAAGCGCTACAACACTTCCAGAAAACCGCCGAGATAGAAGAAAAATATCTTTCCCTCGAACATCCATCTCTAACTGTCACATATAGCAACATTGCTGAAATTTATCACTCAATGGGAAAACATTTGGATGCACTTTCTTTGCACCAAAAAGTGCTTCAAAGTCGTGAAAAAAGTCTTCCGCCTAATGATCCTTTGCTGGCTGTTACACATAGCAATATTGCTGCGGTCTATCAATCAATGGGAGACTATCAAAGAGCGCAAGTAATTTTTTATAAAGCACGAAAAATTGGAGAAATAGGTTTTGTTCCTAACGATCCAAAGTTAGCTACTATCTACGACAATTTAGCCACGGTACACTTGTTAATGGGTGAACATGAAACGGCACTTTATTTTTATAAAAAAGTACATGAAATCAACAGAAAAACTCTTCCTTCGAATCATTCATCGCTACTTATGACATGCAGTAATATTGCTTTAATGTATAACTCAATGGGTAAATACCCGGAAGCATTATCTGTGTACGAAAATATGCTCAAAGATCTATCAAACACTTTCGCTTCAAACCACCCAACATTGGCTCTAGTATATAGCAACATGGGCTTGGTATATCAGAACATGGGAAACTGTTCAGAAGCACTATCATACTGTCAAAAAGCAGTAGAAATTCTAAAAATATGCTCTCCTTACCATAACTCGGATCTGGCTACTACTTATAATAACATTGCACGAATCTATCGAACACAATGGAAATTCAATGACGCGCTTGCATACTACGAAAAGGCACGGCAAGTCGAAGAAAACAAAGTCTCTTTTGATCATCCAAATTTAGCTGTGACTTATAATAACCTTGGTGAAGTATACCTAAAAATGAAAAACTATTCGAAGGCACATTCATTTCTTCAACAGGCTCTTGCAATACGGGAAGAACGTCTTCCTTCCAAGCATCCATCATTAGCCTCTAGCTACAACAATCTCGGATTGTATTTTCAAGAAACGAATGACTACGAAAGGGCAATTTCGTTTTACAAAAAGGCATTGGATATCCACGAAAGCTACAATATTCCCAACAATCCAGAGTTGGCGATTGTCTATAATAATATGGGCCAGATATATTATTTGACGAAAGATTACCAGACTGCACTAATCTATTTACACAAAACACGTGAACTTGACGAAAAAGCTCTTGGTGTTGGTCATCCAGATTTGGCTTACACTCATCATAACATTGCGCATATATTGGAGGGTCTTTCTCTGTATGAAGAAGCACTCCTTCATATACAGAAAGCCGTTGACATTACTAGCCGTACTTGTGAGCCTGATGATGATCGATTGAAAATGTTTACCAATTACCGTGACACTTTACGAATGCTCCATCCATAATAATTGAAATACAACATGATAGTTCGAGGTGAGGCGTTCTACGTCTTCCCTGAAACTCCGATAATCAACTAGAGTCATAGATATAGGAGACCTAGTGTACAACGAGGGTGGGTGTGGGTGTAGAAGTGGGTATGAGTGGGTGGGTGTGCGGGTGTGGGCGTATGGATATCTTCAACTATACCTTATCTGCTGATGAGTATACCCGTTCGAGCTGAAAACTTCAGAATATACTAAACAAACAAAGAATTGGGGGAATTTCTTCTGGCAGATTAAGGTGGGGTGTGAATGTGGGGTGTGGCTGCGACTGTGGGACTGGGTGTACGTGTGTGAATGGGTGGGTTAGTGGGGTTGTTCAGGAAGAAAAGAAGAACACCAACACTCACCCACACCCACACCCCACACCCACACCCCACACCCACACCCCACGCCCAGCCACCCACACCCACACCGACCCACACCCCTATTAGGGGTCAAAGAGATGTAATGTTTGAAATCTTTATTTTAAAGATGGAAGTACATAAAAAAAAGATAACGAGAAAAAACATATAGCATCACTCGATCTGACCTTTCATAAACAGGAGAAGAACTATATATATATAGAAAACAAAGAGAGAGATGACTAGAAAGACATGATATCACTAGAACAAAGAAAAAGATAGATCAAATCATAACAACAAAGGTGATATCATGCAAATAAAGGAAAAGAAGAGAAGAACGAAAGAAACAATAAAAGAATAATAATATGAATCAGTGTGAGGGTAGGCCCGTAACAACCCCACACCCACACCCCCACCAAATACCATCTCGTTATTCAAAATTCATTGTTCTTAGTTTGCTTTGATGATTTTCTGATTAAAAGATGTTTTAAATTGAAAATGAGAAATCTGTTGGATATACCCTAGCTGCAAATTCAGTTTTATTCACGTATGAATTTAATATCTTTCGTCGTAGCAGAATTTCTTTTATCAGAAGACATTCCCGAAACACTCAAATGTTATAGATATGAAAGCTATCAAACACAATTAAGAAAAGAAACATGATATACAATCAAAAACTTGATTTCATGTATTTCAGAAATTTTGTTAATATACTTTTTGATGAACATATTATATCAGCATTTAATGACTTACTTTAAGCCACAATGATTTCTTGCCATTTCGAATCACACCTAATAACCTGAGATGTATTGCATTTACTATATCAGAACTAAAAGAAAGTTCAGTCATGTGCACGAGAAAACAAAGATTGAATAAATGTTCTGCTATATATTTTCCTCATCGAGTGTAATGAGTCATGATTATATTCTCTCTTGATTAATAACATTCAACATGATGGATTTCGCAAGAAATCATATTATTGTGCGAATAGTTAATAGAGTGAATCAGTGTGGGTGGTGTAAGTCACTCAAGAGTGAATCGGCATTCACATTCACTCAAAACTCATCCTGGACGAGAGTTATTTTCCGTAAACTATATATATAGTACATTCATAGTATTCCGTGGAAACACATGTAAGTTTTGTATAAAAATAAGAATGGAATCTAAATAAGATTTTTCTTTCTTCAAGTATTTAAGGTTTTCCTATATATATATATATATATCAGTAGCGGAACGTTGAAAAAAAGAAATTTCTTTTCAAAATTGTCCAAAAATCCGCAAAAAGTGAACGTTTTTGGCTCACACTCGCGGTTTCCCGACTGAGAGCCAAAAACATCTATTTTTCGTCCTTTTTGTGCGTTTAAACGTGTTTTCAGACAAGAAACGCGTGTACACGCATACAAAAACGAGAAAAAAGTTGTCTTGTTTTCCCAACTCCATAAACATTACTGTAATCATGATCATGCATCTCGAGTATGAGAAAACGACCACCTTTTCTCTTTTTTTGTATGCGTGTACACGCATTTCTTGTCTGAAACCGCGTTTAAGCGCACAAAAAGGGCGAAAAATGGATATTTTTGGCTCACAGTTGGGAACCGCGAGTGTGAGCCAAAAACGTTCACTTTTCGCGGATTTTAGACCAATTTCTGTGCGTTTAAACGCGTTTTCTGAAAAGTTTGTCTGCTTGGGTGATAATTTCTATTATGAGAGAATAAACTGTAAGGAAAACAAATAGCGTTTTTAGCATCACGTGAGTTTTGTATGAAAAGTTGATTTTAGTGAAATATAGATTTTTTTATCTAGTTTCCTACGTTAATTCTGAATTCACAACGCAATAAGAAAATTTATGAAAAACTAACAAAAGTTCAAATGCTTAGTCTACTAAAAATCTAGTAAAAATCATAATTTTTCAATGTGAAAAGCAAAGTATGCAATATCTGGTGATGACTTAAGTTAGATATATTATATGCTTCTGATTACTGACATTAATATGAATGTGTTATTGATTTTATTTTCTCTTAGATATAAACTTCTATTCTAAGTAACATCGAAACCATCAGACTTATGAAAGAATGTGTTCCTTTTCCTTTGCGTTACTGTTAACACTTATTAAAGTTGTACTGGAAGTTTAACTGATAGATGTATGAATGAGAGTATGATTAAATCTTAATAGAAATAATCGATCTGAAACATATCAACTACATTACATATTTCTTCATAGAATCATTTATCCTTCGGAGTAAAAGATAAAATATAACGTTCTCTCTCTCTACGATGTTTCGGTTAATCCACGTGTATCGTTTAAAAATAATTTTTTCTCGATCATTATTATCGTTAACAAGTTATAATAAACATGCAACGAACGAAACCACAAGAGAAGGATGTAGAACAAAATCTACGTCGTATTCAAAAACTACAATTAGAAAATTCAGGTAGTATTTCATGTAAATATTTTTTAAATCTAATTTTTTATTTTCTTGTTTTAGTTACAAAAATCAATTCAAATAAGTTACATACATTTTTAAAAAAAAATCATAAAATGAATTATTTTTTACTTAGATATACAATGGAAGATTTAGCAAATGAAATTTTCTATGAAATATTTGAATATCTTGATCTATATGATATTTATAAAGGATTTTACAATCTAAATATACGATTTCGAAATTTAACTATTCATGCAAATGTTTTAACTAAAATCAATCCTTCAATAATGTCAAATTCAAATTTTGAAGATTATTATCAAAATATTATTAAGCCAAATCAACAACAAATTAATTTTCTTCGTTTAACAAATCCATTTGCCATTAATATTATTTTTTCATCATCACGTACTATTTTAAATTTTTATTCTCTTGAAACATTAATTCTTGATAACTTACACAACAAAAAGTTTGAACAATTCTTTGATTATTTTATACGCTTACCTAATCTTCATTCATTAAATATCTCTCTCAATGAGTGTATTAAATCATTATATATTCTTTTTTGCCAAATATTTCGTTTACCAAAATTAAAATATTGTAAAATTGAATATTATATTGAAAATGAGAAAAAGCCATTATATGTTGATTTAAATTATAATTTTAGTTCTACTATTGAACAATTAATAATAAATGGTCCTTTTCCATTTAATACATTTAATAATTTATTATGCTGTCTTCCTAAACTTAAATATTTATCAATTAATTCTATTGTTGAATCTCATAGGATTAGCGAAACAAAAGAATTATCTCCAATTGAATTAAAATATTTCAAGAATATTTTTCTTAAATTTGATTATATTCATTTTGGCAAATTTGAAAAAATTGTTAAAGATTTTTTTCATCATGTTCAAACTTTACGTCTTACAATAATTGGTGATAAAAGATCTTTAGATGCTAAACAATATCAAGAACTAATAACATCATATATGCCATATTTACGTATTTTTGATATAAATCATGAATATTCTATAGAAAAAAATGATTTAACATATCATGATATAATTAATCAGTTTAATTCTTCGTTTTGGATTGAAAATAAATGGTTTTTTACACATCAACACCGTCGAACATCTGGATCACATACTGGAATTTTTTATTCTACCGTTCCATATCGGTAAAAATAGATTATTTCCTATCGAAAAAAATCATATCCATAATTCCTTTTTCTTGTAAATCAAGAAGAGATAGAGTTTTAATCATTTGATAGAGAAGACCCAAGTCTATCTAAATATATGGGAGAAATGATTTATAAGTAATGTTTTAATAATTCTAAACATCGATATGCTAAAGTGATGTTCTATCATATCCAAAGATTGATTGTAGAATATTAGATACATTTAGATAGCAATACCAGACTTATGTTCCAAGAATAATCTTTGAATAGTGAGGTCTAAACAATGTCAATGCAACATATTTTTTATTTGATAGGCTTATTTAAATTATATAGTGAATTTTAAGTCTTTTTTGTTGGCAAAAATCTTCTGTCATTCATCCTTGAATAGTGAAAATTATTCGAAGGAGAAGATCACGACGAATACTTTTGTGAATAGACAATGATTTTTATTTGTTTTCTTTTAGGCGAAAACATTATACGTATTATTTGACATTTAATAATGAAGTTTGTTCAAATATTCAAGAAAATTTAAATTCAGTTAAACATCTTCATATTGTTAGCCAAGGAATACAAAATAATGTTCTTAATTATTTTCCAAATGTTAATCAATTAAGTATTAAAGATAAATCTAAAAATCGAAATAAACCGATTATAGCAATTCTTCAACGTATTGTACCTTTAAAACAACTTACGACATTATTCATTGAATATTATGATTTATCAGTGGAAGATCTTATTAAATTATTATATTGTGCACCTAATGTGCATACATTACATTTAGTTGAATTACCTTCCAATTTTACTGATCTAGAATTGATAAAAGAAAATGAAATTTCTAAATATGTATCAAATATGAATAAAATAGAAAATCTGAGTATTCGTACTTGGATCACATTCTATGAAATTCCATTTATCCTTCATTTCTTGCCAAAATTAAAATATCTTGAAACACAAATAGTCACAAATGAAACACAAAAAATAATTCGATTATTGTTATCAGAAACTCACAATCGATTAAGAAATTTATTGTATTTATGTATTCCGAAGATATCGAAAAGATCCTTGAAAGAAATAAAAATTTTAATTAAATNGATTTATCAGTGGAAGATCTTATTAAATTATTATATTGTGCACCTAATGTGCATACATTACATTTAGTTGAATTACCTTCCAATTTTACTGATCTAGAATTGATAAAAGAAAATGAAATTTCTAAATATGTATCAAATATGAATAAAATAGAAAATCTGATTATTCGTAGGTGGATCACATTCTATGATATTCCATTTATCCTTCATTTCTTGCCAAAATTAAAATATCTTGAAACACAAATAGTTACACATGAAACACAAAAAATAATTCGATTATTGTTATCAGAAACTCATAATCAATTAAGAAATTTATTGTATTTATGTATTCCAAAGATATCGAAAAGATCCTTGAAAGAAATAAAAATTTTAATTAAATCAGAAAAACTATTCCATAATTACTCAATTATATGTGTTAATGGAACTTTACATTTATGGTGGTAAAGATTATGTTGTTTAATATATGTTTAGTTGTTTTATATAATATATATTATGTTTGTGAAAATAAATCAAAGATGAAACTCTGATTATAATTATTTTCTCATTTAATGTTAATTTAAAAAAGTTTTAGTAAGTCTAGAGAGATCAACTATTTGAAATGCATAAAAAATAGAAAATGCGATCAATAAATACTGTTTTATTCTTGTTAATTGTATTTGATATGGTTTTATGTATGTATATCTCGTCAGCAATTATTTTTTCGATCTTGATCCATAATTCTTACAAGATCAATTTCGAAGAAGAAGACAGACCACGTTTCTTTATTTGAATTCTAAATACTCTTATAATTTAATTCACAAGTTATGAAATGATAATAAATACTGTAAGATACCAACCAAAATTGAATATGTTTTCCCATGAGTTTAGAATTTCAAAAATAGAGCTTTTGGCATACATACGCAATTTGAATTTTGTATCTATAGACAGTTTATGACTTTGGACAATACTTTTCGAAACGTTTGGTTATGCATCTGAATACTAGTTCTATAAACAAAAAGAGATTAAAATACTCTTTGTAAGAATTCAACGATCTCTCTTTTAATCACTAAATCTATTGATGACATATGTATTCTTAAAAATTTTTTTTTAACGCTATATATACCTATATAAACTGTTAAAATAAAATATAAAAAAATCTTAAAAAAGCAAAAAAAAAAGAGATTAATATTGTTTGTTATTTTCTCAAATGAATTTTCATTTATTATCATAATCATCTTGAAAATTTTATGCTATAGAAAAAAGGCAATACGTTTTTTGAGTCTAATTAGATATTGAAATCAATAGAAAGTTTGTTGAGATTGTCGAATGGATATTTTATCGTTCGAGAAATTGAGCTGTTTTTCTTTAAATAGACATCGTTCGTTCGAAATGAATATAAGACTAGCATTACTAGGATCCATAGTCATCAAGTGATTATATTTGTNTCCTGAAATTAAAAAATCAATCATAATTGTTGGGTTATAATATATATGTCTATAAATACATTATTATTTTGACTTATTAGTATTTATCATAATATGTATAAGTATATGAATATAATCAAATGCAATAGAAATTAATGTGATACAGATTTGATCACGTTATTGTCATGTATTAGTTAAAATTGGAAGAAGAATTCAAAAAATAAAAACGAGAATAAACATTTTTAAATAACAAATAAAATCGTCTAGAACACTTGGTAAAATTTTCATGTTATGTTTCATTAACTGATGATAGAATATCATTTAATCGTGTTAATTATATCATCTTCATTTAAACATTGTACAAGAAATCGAAGTATTAGATTTATATTGATTCAAACATCGATTTTTAAATTGACAATTGAAATTCTAAGAAAAATTTTATAAATAAAAACAATGAACATTTCTATTTCCTAATTGTCGAAAAGCAACAAAAAAAAATGGATCAATTGATCGTTATGCTGCAAATAATGATAGAACATAAAATAGTGTTAATTCTATGAAATAAATATCCAAACGCCATTGATCATATTTGAAAAGAAAAAGTTAAGTATAATTGAATATTATTAAAAAGGAAAACTACTGTCCATTTAAAAAAAAGGCCGGTGAATATTCTTTGAATAACTTTTGATAGGAACAATATAGAAAGCTGCAGTTTTCACTGTTGGAAAGAGGCGATGAAAATACATCGATTTGTGTATTTCAGATTTTTTCTCACAAGTATTTTAAAGGTTTTTTCTCGAATCTTTTTAAAAAATCAACAAATAGACGTGGAAAAAAATTGATTTTTTAATAAAGACTAAGAAAAAAAGCAATTTTTTTCGCTAAAAATCGACCGAAAACACACAGTAACATGTTCAAAACTTATGATTAGCTAAAGATAATAATGTCGAGTTTATATAGCTAATACAACTTTCGTTACTGATTCTGGTGCCCTCCTGAATATTAAAACTCCATAATATTCACATGATGTAACGTTTTTTCTTTTGAATAACTTTTGATAG